TATGGTTTGAGGGCATTACCAAAGGTAAGGACCAGGCCTCCTGTAATGTTTATCATGCCATGCTCATTTGTATTCAATGCACAAGGCTAAGTTCTCACAGACTGTGTGCTTTTAAGAGTAAGGAATTCCCTGCTCCTGGCTGCATCTGAAGCCCATGCAGAATAACTTTTCTAATTTCCCGAACCCACTGTATATTCATGGCAATTCTCTGCGGGAGGGCAGGCTTCAAGAGAATCCTCAAGATTGGTTGGGTCCAGTATCTGCAAGGATAATTAAGCTGTTGAACCTATGGGGAAATGCTCAGTTGAATGTTCTATATTTGGAGTGCTGGCATCTTCCTGTCCCAAGATACTTTCTTTGATATAATCAGTGCATATTGGGGAGGGCCCAGTTATTAATATGCACAAATACAGCAAGTGTGAGGCACATGTGCTTCCCAATCTCAGCACTGTACACATACACATTCCCAACACGGAGCCACTGAAGGCATGAACAAGTGCTAGCTTTCAGCATCTATGCTTGACTAAAGGCACTCTCCAAAAGCCACAGTGTGGCAACATCCTTTAGTAGAATTGACCAAAATGCCACACCTTTCTCAACGCAACAGGATTGTCCACGCAGACATTTACCCAAATCCAATTATGGATGCCCTGATTCCAGTTTCCTTCTTGTCAGAATCTTTTAGGATCTGCAAGCTTCGTTGCCGTAAGTAAGCCTCGTGGTATAGGCCCCAAATACCCCCACACTAATGATATATCACTGCACATGTTCAAAAGAAGCGGGTGTGAAGATTGCCATTACAATGCCCAGACCTCCACAACTTGCATGACATGTCTGAACAGTGACCTATGGTTGCAGGCACCAACCACGAAACAGCACAGAGTGCTCAAAGTATGGTGGGGAAGGTAGGGGAAATCTTAATGAAATCCTCAAGCTCTCTGACCTCCCCTTATTCCCAAATTTTACTCACAAACTGGCAAGAAAGAGTGTGGACTATAATTCATTGGCTCTGTCTTATCAGCTTTCTTATATATTTGGACCACAATTTTTCCATTCCATTTTTTGGATAATTTGCCTGTCCCATTTATGAATGTGAACAAAGGGGATAACAATTGGTATGAAGAACTGGGCAAGCCACCTTTACCTGCTGGAGTGAACCACCTCTACCTGTCTGTGAGCAATAATCATGTCTAACAGGGACTGTCAGGGGATGATTGGTGAGTGCTAGAAGAGGTAAGAGTCCGGGAATCCAGCCATATTTACAAGATTTATTGGTTTCTTGCCGCTATTTACACGGAGCTCTGAGAGTACATCTGCATCATGGAGTGTCACTTGCAGAGACTGACGATGCTTTCGCTTTCTTCCAGCATAACCACTTCCGGAATCCATCCCCTTTCCTTCCTCTGTTACGAGAGTGGCTGGGCCCCGGAAGCTGCTCCCCCCTCTCTGATTCACTGCTTTCTGACAACCCTTCGTCACCCTCCTCCTCCGAGGAAGTACAACTGCTATGTATCGGAGGCTTATCTCTGTAGGTCCCCATTCTCTCCCCCTTCTCTGCCTCCAATTCCCTGACAGGGACCCTAAGTGGGTTAGGTCGGCAAGATATTCAACATCTAGAAGTCCAATGCAGCTGCCTGGTTAGGGAGTTGGTAAACCACCTTTCCTGGTACAATGAACCATTTCTACCTGCTAGACTAGTTCTTAATCAAATCTTGCCTGTCTTTGAGTTTTCTATAAACAGAGTTGTCACAAAATGTAAGGGGACTTCAACCTCCTTTGCCTTCCTCTAATTTGAATGCTATGCACAGCAACTTATTTTACTTTTTCTAGAATAGTTTGTCTACCTATTCCAGATTTTCCCAAACCTGGGTCTCCAGTTCTCTTGGACTACAACTCCCATCAACCCTAGCTAGCAGGACCATTGGATTATGGGAATTGTAGTCGAAAACAGTTGGAGATTCAAATTTGGGAAGCCCTGATGTCTACTATATGCGCATACCCTCCAAGGTATGATTATTTTGCTGCCATGCAATTTCCCCATGTATGTACAATTCTTCCACATGTACATTGTCTTTATTTATTTTAAGCTGCACATGGTTGTGGTATTGGAGGCCCCTGTATAAGACACCAATGGTGTCTTTGACACAAACACAGAAGTCTCCTGTGCAGGTACTATGAGGCCTCTGAAAAGAGAATGGAACTTCTCTAGAATCCATTACGTTTCTGGTCAGTTCCAGTCCTTACAGATCCTCCAGGTCACTGTCAGGTTCTACTTGTGGGTAAATTTGATGAGTTCTCTTAATAAATAACCCTTTAATTTTAGGGTGGCATTAGGTACTGCAAGAGGCATAGAACTGTCACCGCGCCATGACTCCTCTCTTCTTTGATGTAACTTCCAATAAAATGCTATGAGACAGCTAAGTGTTTGTTGTTGTTTAGTCATTTAGTCGTGTCCAACTCTTCGTGACCCTATGGACCAGAGCACGCCAGGCACTCCTGTCTTCTACTGCCTCCCGCAGTTTAGTCAAACTCATGCTGGTAGCTTCGAGAACACTGTCCAGCCATCTCATCCTCTGTCGTCCCTTCTCCTTCTGCCCTCCATCTTTCCCAACACCAGGCTCTTTTCCAGGGAGTCTTCTCTTCTCATGAGGTGGCCAAAGTATTGGAGCCTCAGCTTCAGGATCTGTCCTTCCAGTGAGCACTCAGGGCTGATTTCCTGAAGAATGGATAGGTTTGATCTTCTTGCAGTCCATGGGACTCTCAAGAGTGTCCTCCAGCACCATAAGTGTTTACCATTTCCTATGTGAAATTTCCTATTTCAAGGGGCAAAATCTGTGGAATCAGGGTGATTTCATGAATTGAACTCACGGGGGCGGGGGGGTGGAGAAACTGACTAGGAGAATAAAGCACTGCCAGAAATTTACTACATCTATTTATTATACATAAACTCCTAGTGCTTAATGCATTGGGTTGAATGCAGACTAACAGTGGAATCCTATGCATCTCTACTAAAAAGTAAGTTTCACTGAATTCAATGGGACTTAACTCTCTCTCTCTCTCTCTCTCTCTCTCACACACACACACACACACACACACATATACTTACACACATACATATATATAACCCAGTAGTGATGTATGGAAGTGAGAGCTGGACCATAAAGGCGGCTAATCGCCGAAGAATTGATGCTTTTGAATTATGATGCTGGAAGAGACTCTCCCATGGATTTCAAGAAGATCAAACCTACCCATTCTTAAGGAAATCAGCCCCGAGTGCTCACTGGAAGGACAGATCCTGAAGCTGAGGCTCCAATACTTTGGCCACCTCATGAGAAGAGAAGACTCCCTGGAAAAGACCCTGATGTTGGGAAAGATGGAGGGCACAAGGAGATGGGGACGACAGAGGACGAGATGGTTGGACAGTGTTCTCGAAGCCACCAACATGAGTTTGACCAAACTGCGGGAGGCAGTGGAAGACAGGAGTGCCTGGCGTGCTCTGGTCCATGGGGTCACGAATAGTCGGACATGACTAAACGACTAAACAACAAATATAACTTCAGCACAATGACTTACCCCTAGATAACTTTAAATTACATAGTAAGAGAGAGAAGTTCTGCTGGGAAGTCATCATTCACAGTGCATTAATTCTATCAGCCACAAACATGAATTCAAACAAGTTTTTAAAAAACCAAACAGGTGAAAGGACAGCATCCTCAGTGCCATGGGGACGGCTCTTATGAGCATCCCTCTACTCATGCTGAAGCCTACTTGCTTAACTGATGAGCCAACATGCCCAGGTCAGAGGTTAACTGCTCTGAAATACCATTTTTCATAGAGGGAGCAGGTGGATTACATGTGCCAACCACACTGGGCAGATGGCCTTGGCCGCTAAAGTCTATTCAATGCATATAAATTGGGAGGCAAATACAGCAGGTACCATCCCATGACACCCTCCATACACTCAGAATATATATTTGGATGGGTAACACAACAGCTCTTATGCAAGCACAAAATTTGAAGGCAGGTGAAAGTGGCCTCAAAACGGCAACTGTCATTTGCCCTGTTTTTACTGCTATCACATCAGTCTCTAGGATCCTACACTGACAACTCAACTGACGTTCATCACACTGCAGTTAGCATTCGGAATTGGGGTGGGGTGGGGGAGACAGAAAACAACTGAATCGCCTAATTAGGAAAAGCAAATGCATGCATATTATCGGTTTGCTCGAGTATAATGACAACAAAGAGCTTGTTGTTGTGAAAGCTCGAATGACTGTATAATTAATACAGCCTAAAGAAATAACGCTGAATCTTACAAAAGTGAGTAGGTTTTTCCCCCCTCCAAAGAAATGGGAGAAATGGTGGTTGTTTTTAAAAGAAAGCTGTTGTTAATAGAAATGTGCAGCTTTTAAAATACCACAACAGCAGTCTGCATCTTTTAGTCCTATTGGAGTACAATGTGGACTATTGATGTCCATATTTCTACAGACTTGATGTTGCTGCAGTTAGTCTTAGACCATGAAGCTGCTCAGACCATTAGTCCATCGAGCCTAGAATTGTTGAGTCTTCCCCACTGCCTGCTGCCTGAGATCCTTTAAATTGGAGTTGCTGGGTGTGGCGTTTGCCCACTCATTATGGAGACATCTACTAGGGGAGAGAGAGAAAGGGTTAATAGGCTGACCAATAAGAAAGCCCAGGGGCGGAGCCTAACTGTGTTTAAGGGGTTTTGGCAGTTAGTTCGGTTGGTTTTTTGTGGATGGGAAACAAAGGAGTCAGAGTGAGTTAGAGACAGAGGGGAGACAGAGAGAGTGAATCGGAGTACAGTGTTTCAAAGTATTTAAAACTTGTTTGCATTCACAATAAACTGGAATCTTTGTTAATACATTGCAACCTGACTGAGGCTGAATATATTACTGGGGGAAACCTGGTTGGTGGCAGTGGAAGAGATAAGCCGTGGTGCTGCAGGGTCAATAGTCCGTGGAGCGACTGGGGGCTCTGTGCGAACGCCACACTGGGGATTGAACCTAAGATCTTCTGAGTGCAAGGCAAAAGCCTTGCCACTGGGCTACAGCCCCAGCTCCAAAGTCTGCCATATCCACAGGAGTAATACTGAAGCAGTCAGGAGGGCTATTCTTAGCCTCGGATGGTTGCCAAGGACACAAATTGTCCCCAAGTGTTTAAGAATAGTACAGATGCTGTACACAGAGTTAGAAAAGCAACCTCTTCCAAATTACCCAACTGATGGTAAGTCAACAACATCAAGACTTCAGTGAACTGGATTTGGTGGCAAACTGAACCAGTCATCCCAAGGCAGGAATGGGTTTGAATTTAAAAGGTTCTACATTTTGCCTCCTGCAGGGCAACCATGAAGTAGTGATTCAAACACTTAATTCGCCTTTCTTAAGAAAACTATGCACTCATCTTGGAACTGGAACAAAAAGCAGCAGGAGGATGGATTCTTATTCAAATGTACATTTAAGCTTTTCTTAAATCACCTGTGAAAATACAATGTTATGTGACATTGCTTTATGGTTAATTTGTTCTTGATAGTTTATATTCCCTATATTATGCTCAAATAAGTGTTCTAGAAAAGCAACTAATCAGTTTAATAAATATTACTGAATATACTCTCCAGGCAGAGGCTTCATCATTTATATCAAGCTAATATATAGAACAGAGTTTTATATAAAACTCTGTTTAAAAAACTTACCATGTTTCCCTTTAGTACTCTTGTCTACCACAAAGAACATTTGAGTTTCACTTATGGCTGGAAACAGAACTGAAGGATTGCTGGATTTTACGTTTTCAACAAATTAGGAACTGGCCATTGTGTGTTTCTTCAGTCCAGCATTCCCAGGTGTATAGGACTGAGCTGTCAGTACACTCCATGTTATCTGTGTGAAGGCCCCTTTGCTACAGATGTTCACACTGTGCACACAGCATTGGGGGAGGAGCATGCAACATTAGGGGCAGGGCTATATAGCAAGCCATGCCCCTTGTTCCGATGTTGTTCCATATGGGAGTGAAGAATAGCCAAAGAGGACTTAAGAGTTCTGGACATTTTGAAACCTGGCTCACTATTTTTAAATATTTTGGTTGGTCTAATAAATGTACTGCCCTACTAAGGATTTTTTTGGGGACGCGGGTGGAGCTGTGGGTAAAACCTCAGTGCCTAGGACTTGCTGATCGTATGGTCGGCGGTTCGAATCCCTGCGGCGGGGTGAGCTCCCATCGTTTGGTCCCAGCTCCTGCCCACCTAGCAGTTCGAAAGCACTCTTAAGTGCAAGTAGATAAATAGGTACCGCTTTATAGCAGGAAGGTAAACGGCGTTTCCGTGCGCTGAGCTGGTGCTGGCTCGCCAGCTGCAGCTTTGTCACGCTGGCCACGTGACCCGGATGTGTCTTCGGACGGTGCCGGCTCCCGGCCTCTAGAGCAAGATGAGCACGCAACCCTAGAGTCGGACACGACTGGCCCGTACGGGCAGGGGTACCTTTACCTTTACTAAGGATTTTGTATTATTTTCTTATGGGCCAACACCTTATGAAAACAACTTTGCTTTTTATAACGTTAATAGTGGTGAAAATTAATTGTGGAGCATTCTGATATTAACTGTGACTATGCTGATAGGCTGAGCAGAAAGACTTCTCCTCCAGAAGGTACCTTCGATTTACTTATGATTCTGAAATATCCTGATGACAGTCAAAACATATTTTCAGCTGATCTATAGAGGAGCCTACTGCCTGGAGAGAGCTGGACCATAAAGAAGGCTGATCGCCGAAGAATTGATGCTTTTGAATTATGGTGCTGGAGGAGACTCTTGAGAGTCCCATGGACTGCAAGAAGATCAAATCTATCCATTCTTAAGGAAGTCAGCCCTGAGTGCTCACTGGAAGGACAGATCATGAAGCTGAGGCTCCAATACTTTGGCCACCTCATGAGAAGAGAAGACTCCCTGGAAAGGACCCTGATGTTGGGAAAGATGGAGGGCACAAGGAGAAGGGGACGACAGAGGACGAGATGGTTGGATGGTGTTCTCGAAGCCACCAGCATGAGTTTGACCAAACTGCGAGAGGCAGTGGAAGACAGGAGTGCCTGGCGTGCTCTGGTCCATGGGGTCACGAAGAGTCGGACACGACTAAAAGAGTAAACAACAACAAACAACTGCCTGTTTAATTAGGCTTTAGCACTGAACTCCACCAGTGGGAGTGTTTACAAAAAAGAATTAGCTTTACATTTGCTTTGTGGCTCAAAACCCAAGCAAGAGTGTCTATCCCCCAATCAATAACCTGCAAATTTTAATGCAAATCTGTTTCCACACATGGAACATACAACTTTAAAATAATTGCTTCATGAAATAAATATAAAAGCCAAAAATTATCAGTGCTTATATCTCCATCCACAATATACATTAACCAACTGTTACATATAAATATATTATTTGGTGTGTGTACAGAGCATGCTGGGTTATGCTTAGAGCAATGATCCATACATCCTGTGGTGGAATAACATAAGCCGTTTCTACAAGACATACATCTTCTGTAGTCAATGTTCCATAACCAGACGCATTTCAACCCAGCAGGCTCACCCACAACAAATTCCTTTCTCTGAAACAGCTGCGAGCCACTGGCAGCAGAGTTCGATGGGACTAACGCCCAAGTAAGTGAAGGATAACAAATCAAACCAGTAGAAAATCAAAAGCATCATGGCCAGTAATAGACCAAATCATGTGATAAGGATTGACCATAGACTGCCCTCCCTTGCCTGCTCTGTAACTCTGAATGGAGCAGCAAGGAAGCTCACCTTGTTGCTAGTCCCTCCAAAGGCAGCCCATCTTGTTTCACCACCTGAGGCAAAGTGAGAAGGGGGCCACCCTGACTGTGTCACTCTTGCCACTCCCACCAAATCCTTGGTTACCAAGGAGCAGTATCTGGCAAGGATTAAACCAAAAGGTTGATGGCTCCAATAAGGTGAGGCTGAGTATGAAACAAAGAGTGCAAAACATACAACTTTTGGAGGAAGCTCAATTAGACACTGGAGAGTCATGAGCAGGTTTCCAGTCACTTCAAATTTATTCCAGAAGCAGCATTGGAAGAGAGTGGGTGGGAATTCTATCTGGACTAGGTGATACCAGGTTTGGCTGCATAGACCTAGTACATTTACAGCACATGCCTTCCCTCAAAAATTCCTGGGGACCATAGTTTACCCCTCACAAAACTCCAGTTCTCAGCACCTTGAGCAAACAACAGTCTCCAGGATTCTTGAGAGAACATCACATGCTTTAAATGTATGGTGCGTATCTGGACTTTATCAGGGCAAATAGCTGGGATGTGTCACACTGGGAAAACTTGGGTGGTGAGGTTTAAACCCTTCTATCTTAGCTCCAAACCTCGCAAGAAGAAATGTAAAGAGAGCACTGATCTCCACTGCCTCATCAAGTTTGGCTCTCCGTTTGCAAACACCTACTGTCCATTGAGTTTCAGTTTCTAAAAAGCACATGGGGATTCTTCTTGGATTGGAAAAGGATTTGGCCAATATTGTGGAAGTAGTAGCCCAGAGTCACAAACACAAGTGAGGGGTGGGGGTAGGCAGTTGAGGAAACAGTCCTTCTTTGAATGCAGAGTGAGATCTGTACGATTTGTTCCCATTTTCATCATCTCCGGACTGCAAAGAGTTCTCTGCAGCCAGTCACACCGGCAATATATTATTGTCAACTGCTCAAGGCAATTGTCTATTTTATAATAGCTACAGCATGCAAACTTGACAGTTGCGATTAAATGTAAAGCTCTTTTGTGTAATAGATATTTTTTTTAAAGGAGTGCATCTGCTTCGCAATATATGAGTTCAGTCCCTTTTATACCTCATTTACACTTATCCGGCATGGATTAGTAAAGTGTATTACCATGAACACGAGTGTCTTTGTAACAGAGGGATGAATTTAAATTGCTAGCATTCATTACTTTGAAAGATAATGATGGAGTCCTTGACTGCATGAGAGAAGACAGAATTGTTTTGATGAAGACAGCCCCTCCTCTTCTTAGATATTGTGCTATTAAAAAGAGTATCTAAATCCTGCACCTGAATCCCCTACTGTTTCTGGTAGGGATAGGGGAGGAATTCAACTCAGTTCACATTTAAAGACAAGCTTACTCAATTCATACTTCCAAAAACAATGTGTGAAGCAAAACACAGACACATTAGAAATTTACCTTTCTCCAAATTTTGCAATGCAGCTCTTTAGCCAGGTAATTTGCACAAAAATGCATATACTGAACAAAGTGTGCATATAAATCACATATTAGTGAAAATAATATACAACAGTGCATCATATTAGGGGAAACTGCTTTGGCAAAATTGCATACAAAAATGTATATATTAGCACTAAAGCAATGGTGAATTTTCAAGCTCATCATGGAAATGCGGAGAAGTGGACTGGATACTGGGGGGAAATGAGAAACAAAGAAAAACCAAAATAACATCTTTAAAGTCTTAGAGTAAAAAATAAAAATAAAAATTACTGCACAACAGAGATTGCAGCCATAGAACAGGCTAGTTTCACATGAGAGATGAGTCAGAATTAATTAAGTGTTCTGTTTTTCTTTTAAGAACTGTAGCTGTAAACAGGAAGGGGGTGCTGAATCTTCTTGTTCAAGTTCTTGGTACATAAACATCTCATAGGCTAAACACTAGATGGAATATTTTAGTTGTGGTTCCCTAATATTGCCATTGTACTGCAATGCTGCCATGGAATGTTTGCAAACATTCTATCTGCAGGCCCTTTGTTACGTATAATTAAAGAAATGTGCTGTGCAGTTAATGTTGGCAAGCAAGAGGAAGGCTTTAGGTTTCGTGGAACCCACTGTTGGGAAAAGAGGGACTTCTACAAGGAACTTGGTTTCCGATGAGTTGCTTCTGGGGTATTAAATTTGATAGCCTAGAAGAAAAGGTTCTGAAACTCCTGAGTGTTATGATTAATGGTTTCTTCGGAACTTAGGTGTGGACATGCTGAAAAGTTAAAATGAGAATCAGACTGATTCAAAATAAAATACTGAAGTCAATAAAAAGGAAATGGAGGTCA